CTCTCTAGTGTAGCTGTGCCCTTACAGGAAGAGGAATAAGCTATAATGTTATGTATGGGATAGCAATATTGGAATAAAGCTAGCGGTTTAGCTGTCCCTCCCCCCACTGACAGGTGCTGCTCCTGCCCCCTGCCTTGGAACTGCTCCCTGAGACTCCTGCTTGCTGTGGGGGGGGAGGGGGGAGGGGAAGAAGAGGGGGGCTAATGTCAGGGTGTGCCCCTCCCCGCTGCTCCTGCACCCCGCTTACTCCATCTTCCATAGAGCAGGCGGGACACACGGAGGGAGGGAGGGAGGGAGGGAGCTGCTGCCGTCCGGGTCTCAGCTTGCTGATCTAATTGACAAGGTATTGTACTTCTGACCCCACTCTTCATACTTAAAGGGGAAATGTGCATCTCTTTCTCTCAAACACACACAGGGTGTGTGTCTCTGCCTGCCCTCCCTCCTTTCCTGCTGCCTTGTAGAGTGTGAGAGTTAACTCTTGAGGGCTCAGCCAATTGCTAGTTCATCGTTTAGCAGTAAGGCATTCCCTGGGAAATATCTCAGCTCCTGGGAAGCAGCAACCCTAGCTCCATGTGCTGCCTCCGCTCCACCCCAAGCCCTGGTTCTGCCACTCCGATTGGCTGAGAACCGCAGCCAATGGGAGCTGTGGGGATGATGCCTGCAGGAAGAGGCAGCACATGGAGGTAGGAGCTGCGGGAGGGGAGTTGCTGTTGCCCTTCTTGGAGCCCTCTCCCAGAGTAAGCATCGCCCTGCATCCGAGGCTGGAGTCCCCCCATACCCAGGCTCTCCTGGCGAGCCTTACCCCCCTGCACTCAGAACCTCCCAATGCGTCCCACTCCCCCTGCACCTGGACCACCCAGACGAGCCACACTCACCTGGATTCCCACCCCACCAAGCCCCAACCAGTTGCACCTGGATCCCCACTCCACTGAGTCCCACGCCCCCAGCATCTTGACCCCCCACTGAGCCTCCCACACCCAGACCCCGCTGCTGAGCTCTATCCCCCCCCCCCATGCTGAGCCCCAACCACCTTCACGTGGACCCTCCTGCAGAGTCCCATTGCTATTGCACCCAAAACCTCCCAACAAGTCCCTGTGCATTCAGATCCCCCACTGAGGCGCCCGCACCCAGATTGCCCCACATGGAACTCTCTTAACCCATCCCTGGATCCCCCCACACTCAGCCTTTCCAAACTTAGATCCTGCCTTGCTGAGCCTGCCTGCTCACACCTGGTGCACCTGTCATGGAGGGGCAGGGCCCTGGGGTATTTCTGAGGCAGGCCTGGGTGCAGCCTCACCACTGAGTCCGTGTCCCAGGGGGAAGCTGCAGAGTGATCTCCCACCTCTGTGCAGCCAGTGGCCTGTGCTCCACAATGCCAGGCTGGAGCCTCCACATTTATTTCACAAATAAAATTTGCAGAATTTTAAAATACTGTGCACAGAATTTTATTTTTTTTGGCACATCATGCCCTCAGGAATAGACCCGAGACTGCTCCAGCAGCGACCGGTGCACCTGTCCCAGGGGCTGCCCGAGCTGCTCAGGTGGCCCCTGGGCCAGGTGCACCAGCCACTGCAGAAGTCACAGAGGTCATGGAAAACCATGGAATCTGTGACAAAAATGGAGCCTTAATTATGATACATTCTTGAATTACATGATCACATGCTGTTTTTTTTCCACAAGACCCCCTCCCTTATTCATGGGATGGATAGTGCTCATTGACTGTATGGACCCGTGCTTGCTTTATGCACACCATTGGAAACTTGCTCTGAAAATAGAATTATTAATTTCCTCATAAACTTTTGTATGGAGGTCATCATAATTGTACCTGAGTGCCGCGCAAACATTAATGGATTATTTTCACAACTCCACCAAGTCCCCTCCATCCCCTGACCAGCTTCAAATCCCAGTAGCGTTCTCTTCACTACTCAGTCACCCCAATCTGTTCCCCTCCCCTCCGCCCCCTTCCTCCACACTGCTTGGGCACTAGCTAGGGGAGAATTGTCTGTCTGTCCTGTGCTTTCATTCTTCCTTCTCTCAGCTCTACTGATACAGTGGCCCATAGCAATAATTGCAGGGAAAGTCCCACTCAGCCCCTGCATCCCTGGGATGGAGTGTTCCCAATGCAGTCAGACTCTTCCCTGCAGAACTTTAATAAGTCTCTACTAATCACATGCAGACTGCAGGGGGTTTTTTACAGCCAAATTTGGGTGTTTTTTGCGCAGAAAAGGAAAAGGACATCCCTGGCATAAAGCAACCCTCCCTGAAAAATTTCAAGCCCTTGCTCCAAAGCATGGAGGTGTCATGTATTTGCCCCGGGGTGGTCCACCAAGGGCACCCACTTTAGCTTTCTGCTTCCTAACAGTGGCTCACTCCCTCCTGACCAGGGATTTCAAGGTTACAAGTTCATCTATCTTAAATCTAGAACCAGAACAGAACCTGGGCAGATGAGAAATTTCTCTGTACAGCTCAGGCCTTTGATCTTGGCATTGGCGTAATAAGAAATCAACGGACAATAACTCTCTCCTCAGGGCGTAGCTTCAAAAGGTTGGGTTTTTGCATAACAAGAGTTGGTGAATTTGCATTAACAGCTCCCTAAGTGGATTTCCTGGTGTGTGACACTTAGGGTGTGTCTACACTACAGTGTGAGCTTGGGCTGAAACTCAGTCTCAAGCCCAAACCCTGCTTCCATCTATGCAGAAATCTATCTGACTCAAGTCAGTAAGCCTGCTGGACTCGGGTCATAGGACCTTGCAAGGGGAGTGGATCCAAGTCCCTATGGGACTCCAGTCATTCAGGTCCACCGTGCATTGTTTTGCAGTGTGGACACAGCTGGGGCCCAGGTCCCCAGACTAGTGTTCTGACAGTCTGCCAGTGCTGTCCCACAATCCCATGGGCCAGTGTATCTATCCTTTCATTTCAAGACTAGTCAATTGACTCCCAGGAAACAACAAGCAACTTCCTGATTCAAGTGCGGATGCTTGGCATTTAACCCTTCTATTTGAGCTGCAAGCTTAGAGTAAAATTTTACTATCTTGTATTAGCTATGGCCACCAACAAGACGTCCTTTACCAAGATCGCTGCTACCAAGTCATGGGACCATAGTCCATTCTGGTAAGTCTCTAGTGTGACAAGAAGTTCGAATTCAGTAAGAGTATCAGAAATAATCATGTGTACCAAGAAATAGCAGACAAGTTCATAGAGTTGGGGATTCAATGGACCGGTGACCAGTGCAGGGAACATAATAAGCATCTGAAGAGCGACTACTGGAAAGCCAGGTGATCCACACCTCTGGGAACTCCCTGTCATCCTTCCTCTTTTACAAAGACTTTGACTTGGAGCTGGGTACTATGACAAGCACTGAGCCCACAGTGGTTCACAATAGCCTAGTCAGCTAGGATGGCTACCTTCTGATCCCCAAATCTAGTATAGGATAGAAGGGGAGTCAGCAGGCACCAGATCACACTAGCAAAGTGACTTTGGTGCTCACACCGATCCTGAGGAGGCTTTGCTGCCAAAGCAGCTGCAGCATATTCTTAGAGGAGCTGTTTGACCCCCGGAAGAACAGCCTGCCGTGGGACTGGCAGAAGAAACAAGAGACCAAAATAGCCCTGGAGCCTGGTAAGTGTTCTGGGTCCATGTTGTTAATATACGAAAGGGAGAGATTTCCGGTTTATGACCAAATCCCATTTTTATTGTAACAGTGTGTATCTGCTAATGGTGGAATCCATGCTAGTACTTTGGTGTCGACCCCCCCTCCCCCGTGGAATTCAAAATAGTGACTGGGAAGTGGAAATAACAACTAAACAAGCATATAATGTTTAATTTTTGGTAGATACTTGCAAAAAGGTGTGCTGGGGTGTTAAAAGTAAGGACTATATGTTGCCTCCCCTTGTAGTATGCCGAACCGGAGAAATAGGCCATGTTCAGTGTTACTAGCTGCTTGTAAACAGTAAACTGTACTGGAGTGGTGGGGGAGGAGGAAATCAATGTTAGAAATAAGGCAGGTGGTTGTATGCAGTCCAGAAATATGTCTGGGGAGGAGGGACTGGCTATGTTCTTTGGGAGCCTGCATTATCATGTGTTTACATATAGTCAGTAGGTAGATATAGTCAGTCAGCTGTAGGAAGAATCCATGTGGATGTTAACACACTGTCCTGTTGATTCTGTCATGAATTTTGACTGAATTCTGCATGCAAACTTTTCCCACAGTAGGAACTTCAGATACATAATCACATCTTGAAGTAGGGTATATTTTCTGGGCCCTCCTCTGTAGGACCCCAGCCCACAACACCTGCAGGGTTGTTGCTCAGACCCTATACATTTGAAAACCTGTGTGGCAAAGACTGCTAGCTTGCCACCAGTAGCTTGGAATAGAATGTCCTTTTATCATTCAGGAACACCCAGGATTATGTTCTCCAGAATATGGAATGCTGAGATGCACACATCTCTTTTCTCACCCGCTACAATGGTTTTCAATTTTTAAACATAAAGCATTTTTGTAAATTTCAAATTACCAATGTGTGTGCACTCTTTTGACTGTACTTAACTTATGCCTGATGTACACTAGAAAATTAGGTCAGTTGAACTGCGTGAGTCAGATATGAAAAATCCACATCCCTGAGCGGTATTGTTAAGTCGACCCAAGTCCCAATGTAGACAGCACTAGGTCAATGGAAGAATTGCTAGCTAATGCCTCTTGGGGAGGTGGATTACCTATGCTGATGGGAGGATCTCTCCTGCCAGTGGAGGTAGTGTCTGTGCTGAAGCACTACAGTGACTCTGCTACAGTTGTGCTGCTGCAGTGTTTTAAGTGTAGAAAAGCCCTCATTTGTGTCTATGGAGCTTCTGGGATGAGGTGAAGCGTTCCTCTAAGACTGTATTGAGACTGAATTCTTCAAAGTAAAACTGTAATCTTGAGATTGCACAGGCACTTTTCTCCGAGGATGCATTGAACATTTTTTGAAGGAAAGGGACAATATATACTTTTTATCTGCTTTCAGGCCTCTTCACCTCAGCAGCTCAGCCACACTGCACCAGGAGCATCGGATTTTGAACTGTCACAGACTAAGTGCTCAGTGGTGAGTTTATGGTGGACATCCTTGACAGAGGCAAGAAACAGGTGCAGTATCAAAGGGAAAAAGATTCATGGCAAGTGGAAAAGCATAGACAGGCAACAGAGCACAAGAAGAGACTTGCAACACAGTTTCTGGAGTAGGAATGTTGCCTAAGGGACAAAGATGGAGCACAACAGAAAGACCTGTTTGAGAGACTGCTTACGCTACTGGCCACAGGATTTCAGGCTCCTGCTCCACTGACACCATGTCCTGAGTCCTCTCCATGGTACCATGTCCTGCAGACCAAGAATACATTGGACAATATCACAGTTGGGTGGCCTGTGCAACTGGGACTGAATGCTAACTGGACAGGGCAAATGTGCCCCCCTGCAGCGGCACCAAGTGTGTGCTAAATGTGCTAGAAAGGGAAAGAGAATAGGGGCCAGCAGACATGCAAAAGTAGAGAATTTGTTCGCTTGCATTGGTTTCTCTGTTTTGCACTGTTCAGTGTTCGTTATGCACTTTATTACTGGTTTTGGTGTTGGTTTATTACTGGAGTTTTGGCATCACAATGGCAGCTGGCTTGCCAAACAATGCTTGAATATTGTTTTTCATAATAAGGGTATGTTCACAAATAAAGGCTTTTATTTTATTTAAAAAGTTTACTACCATCACTGCATTGCATCATATAATGTGTATTTCAAAGAGTAAAGATAAAGAAACGATAAAGCACAACTTGGAAGTTCTAGCCAAACACATTTTCTCAATGCATGTGTTCAAATCAGTCCATAATGAAAATCCACAATTCATGTCACACAAACCCCCATTCCCCTATTGTTTAAGCAGTCATCTCATCCACAGTTACAATGATAGTCTCCAGCCTACCCCATTCATAGTGTACTGTGAGTACTTCATTTACTGTACAAAGTGCTGTACAAATCCATCTGTAAATATACTCTTCTTCTTCCATTGGTTCATACAAGTCCATCGTGTGGTGTACAAAGCATCCCTGATTTCTGTTGCCAGGGTGCATCTTGTTCCAGCTGTGAGAGGTGCACTTTCTGGCTGAGTGTACCAGTTCAGTGGTCCCTTACTGTTATAGGTGCATTCGGGGGCAAATGACTCAGCTTTGGATTCACAAAGATTGTGAAGAGCACAGCAAGCCACAATAATGTGGACAGCATTGATGACACTGGAATCCAAACCGTTCAGTAAACAGTGCTAACGGGATTTCAGTTTGCCAAATGCGCTTTTAACTACCATTTTCCACCTCCCGAATGTAATTAAATCTTCTTTTGCCAGGGCCTCTGAGATTAGGATATGGGTTCATAAGACAAGGCAAAAGGGGTTATATGTGCTCCCCTAGAATAATAGTGGGGACAGTTACTCGAGGACAATGTCATTTGGTGGGAATAGTGTCCCAGCTTGTCTGTGAGAGTAGTCTCCTGATAGGTGGAAAACATTGGCGTTGTGAACTTTTCCAGTTCAGTCCATGTTGGTGTCCATAAATCTGCATTTGTGGTCCACAAAGACCTGCATAACAATGGAGTAGTACCCTTTGTGGTTTATGTATTCATGCTCCATGAAGAGGGCAAACTCTGGGCAGATGAGTGTCATCAATGGCCCTGCCACAGTTTGGAAACCCTATTCTCTTAAACCCAGTAATTACTTTGGGGATATTGTTTATGCACTCCACCTTTAGGTAAATCTCATACCTGATTGCCCCAGAAGCCTCCACCACCACTTTACCCACAGTTGACTTTCCAACACCAAACAGGTTAGCAATGGACCTGTAGCAGTGTGAAGTTGCTAGCTTCCAGATGATCGTAGCAACCTGCTTCTGGACCAACACAGCTGCCCTCGTGTGTGTTATGATGCTGGAGGGTCAGATTAAGCTGCCCACAGAGCTCCAGAAATGTAGCTTTCTTCATGAGAACGTTCTGGAGCCCATTGCTGGTCATCCCAGGGCTACATGACGATGTGGTCCCACCAGTTTGTGCTTGTGGCCCTGCTCCAGAAGTGCTAGTCTACATGGGAGAATTAGCAGCTATACTGAGAGTTTGGAGCAGCATCAGCCAGTTCAAGTCTGGCACATCCGTGTTGTCATCATCCTCCAACAGATGCCTTTAGTAGATCTTAAAATGTTGCCAAATATCCCTCCGGTGTCTCATGGATGCTCTGTCTCTTTTTGGAAACAGAAGTAAAAGCCCAAACAGGACAAGTTCTTCAAATGGTGACTCCTCTATGTTGCTGGCTCCAGTTGCCAGGAGTATGCAGACCCAAAAGACAGCTCAGAAGCTCAGCTCAGTATTAGCGGGCTATGACAAGTTCCTGTAAAGTGCTGCAGGACGGAAAAGTTTTCCTACAGTTCACCACAAACAAATGTCTAGAGATGTTACAGCTGGGAAGGGTGCAAAGAAGCTTGAGAGAGGCTGGTTTGATTTGGGTCTTTGTAGTGCTGTGTAGATGCCTGAGTGCCGATGTAAGATCCTGGTCCAGAAATTCTAAATCTAGGGTTAATATTCAGTGTGACCATTCAAGCACTAGGTCTGTGAGCTTGAGTCTCGCAAACTCTGGGCATATATTACAGTGTAAACATACTTGTATTGTCCCAAAAGTCCGTAGTTGTATGACACGCTTTCAGTATAGTCTTTTGAATTTCCAGGTCTCACATCTGTCACATCTTCCACTGGAGGAGATCCATACAATCCTGGCCTATAATAATATAGAAAATCAATACAGTAAAGCAGGGGTGGCCAACCTGTGGCTCTGGAGCCACATGCGGCTCTTCAGAAGTTAACATGCGGCTCCTTGTAGAGGCACTGACTCCGGGGCTGGAGCTACAGGCACCAATTTTCCAATGGGCCAGGGCGTGCTCACTGCTCAACCCCTGGCTCTGCCACAGGCCCTGCCCCCACCCCACCCCTTCCTGCCCACTCCCCTGAGCCTGCCGTGCTCCCACACCTCCCCCTCCCCCCACAGCCTCCTGCACACCACAAAACAGCTGATCGGGGAGGGAGGGGGGAGGCTCTGATCGGTGGGGCTGCCAGTGGGTCGGAGGCGCTGGGAGTGGGGTGGGGAGGTGAGCTGATAGGGGGCTGCTGACTTATTACTGTAGCTCTTTGGCAATGTACATTGGTAAACTCTGACTCCTTCTCCGGCTCAGGATGGCCACCCCTACAATAAAGTCTTCCAAGGATATTACACGGAATTGCCATATCTGTCACAGGAAGTGCTAGAGCTTCTCAATGAAATAGTTGTAGGAATTTATTTTAACAGACACTACTTCTGGAGGAATTTCCGTGCCACTGCATAAGTGCAGAATTAATGTCTCCTGCAGGTTCTCTCCCCCTCCCCCTGCGCAGAGTAATTGATTGTGACAGGCAAGCAAAGGGAAGCTGTGAGAGGGGGTCACACTGCAATTACACTTTTTGCCCAGCAGGGGCTGATGTGGCACCAGAAGAGCAGCTGGGTCATAGGCTGGAGCAGCCAGATGTGGAGAGAAAAGGAGCAGGGGCTGCCTTCCTCGCAGTGCCCTGCCCATGGGGCCAGGTGAGGAGGCATAGGATGTGGGGGTGGGGCCGGATAGAGCTGGGAACATGGGGTTGCTGGGGGAGTCACAGACTGGGGTTCAGAAGGACTCTTGGAGCGGGACAGACTGGGTCACAGGAACTAATGGAGTGACAACAATGGTTGGGGCTGAATGATAGTGGAGTGCAGGAACACATGGGGATGGAACAGAGGCAGATGTGCCTGACTAATGGGAGAGGCTAGGGTTTAGCCAGAGTCCACATGGGGGCGGCTCCCCAACTCCATAACAATCCCTCCTCCCCCCCAAAAAAAACAAAAACAAAAAAACCTGTTTTGTACTTCTCCCGTCCACACCCAACAACCCTCCAGGTTCACTCCCAGGCTTCTTCCCAGCAATTACTTCCCTCTCCCTCAGCTCCTCCGTTACCTCTGACTTCTCCAAGCCTTTGCATTGCTTCTGAGTGGTGCAGGAAATATGTTTCTGTATTGTAGTTTAAATGAATTATTACTCAAAGTTCTGAATTAATATACCTAGTAAAGGCTCTATTTATCAAAAAACATTTCGTGAATCTTTTTTGTTGTCTGTATTGTTACAGACATACTTGTTGTCAGGAATTTTGAACTAAATTCCTAAAATAATGGAAGTTTGATTACATTGTGTTATTTTGATAAAATGTGCAGAATTTTAAAATACTGTGTGCAGAATTTTTAATTTTTTTGGTGTAGAATTCCCCCAGGAGTAAAAGAAAATATTTTTCCTAATCTCACTCTTCAAAATGGCTAAACTATTTTTGCTGAAACTCTAAAATACAATAAAATAAATTTATATATAAAAATCAACCTGAGGCAGACAACCAGCCTGGAAAATTTCAGCCTAAATTGGTAACGTTGGCAAAATTATAAGTAACTGAAAAAGAGTCTTATAATGAAAAGTGTTGGGCATCCTTAAGAATAGGCAGCTACCATTTTCACTGATAGTTACTATATGTAGGAGCTCAAACCTCTGAATAGGGTTTCCAGGTCTCCTGTGTAGGTGTCTGAGATTAAAGGCAGACAACACCAACTATATTCTAAAGCTGTCACACACTCTTGGCTGCTGATCCCAGGCTCTTTCAGGAGTGGGAGAGTCCTTAAATTCCTCTTTAGTGTTCCTCTTTCTTTAACTCTCTACAGCTGCCTCCCTGGGGATTATTACTGCTTGTTAGTCTTCTGCAAAAATAAAGCAGTGAGGGAGAAATGTAGGTTCTTTACTCCCGCAGTGACAAGTTCCTCAAATATGTTGCCTTCTGAATGAGCACTGACTTCTCCTTCCCATCCTTTTGAGTCTTTCATTGAGGATGGTAAGAAGGGTGAAGATTTTTATTAATCTGGTTTGAAATGTTCAGATCCATAGTTTGTATACACATCCCCTCAAATGCTTTAAGTAGTACAATGGCTCTCTGAGCTGATATGTTGTGGATTGGGAGAGCTAATATATTGGAGGAATGCCAGTAAATGGAGAGTGTTCTTCCGTGTTTAAACTACTGGATCATGCTGTCCTAAAGAAATGAAATACGAATTTTAAGTGTCAGAGGGGTAGCTGTGTTAGTCTGTATCCACAAAAACAACAAGGAGTCTGGTGGCACCTTAAAGACTAACAGATTTATTTAGGTATAAGCTTTCGTGGGTAAAAAACCACTTCTTCAGATGCATCTGAAGAAGTGATTTTTTTACCTACACAAATTTTAATAATCTTTTATTCCATATACCCTGGGATAAGAGAGAAAAGTTAGGTTGTATTGATTTTGTTCTTGTTTGCATGTTAGTTTAATCTCTGTTGCTTCATTGTCTTCTATGTTTTGTGTCTATAAGTTGGAATAAGTTTTCATGATTTCTCCTGGAAGGAGACGCTATATCAGGAGTGGGCAAACTATGGCCCACGGGCTGGATCCGGCCCCTCAGGGCTTTGGATCCGGCCCCTCAGGGCTTTGGATCCGGCCCGTGGAATTCCCGCCCAATGGTGCTGCAGGCCCCATGCTGCTCTCAGAAGCGGCCTGCACCATGTCCCTTTGTGCGTTGCCCTTGCCTCCAGGCACCGCCCCCTGCAGCTCCCATTGGCCAGGAACAGGGAACCGGGACGAATGGGAGCT